TACTCCACACATTTGCCTTGTTATTTTAAAGAAAGCAAACTATAAAGAGAAGAAAGAAATGTCAATTTACTATTAATCAAATTAAAATTGAGCAGCCAAATTAACAGTTCAATATTTCCTATCAGTAACATAGGGAATAACGGTATATCTGTCTTCAATGTAATAAGATCAAATCCTGTCTCTAGTGGAACTTCCATTAATTAAATTTGTATTACAGATATATAACAGTGTTTCATATGGGAAGAAAAGTATAAATACATTATAGTTGCCGGTTAAACAAGTATAGCTACATTGACAGAATTTGATCTTAGGAGACAGCTCTAACAGATAAAAAAGTATATAGTTAATCATACATTAAAATATTCACTCTACTAGAATCCTACAAAGTGTACATACAAACGCGAATGTAAGTAACGTCCCTTAAGTACGGTGATGGGCTGTATAAATAAAATTGAAGTAAATGTATCAAAAAATTAAGCTTCTACACCAGTTTTATGAAATTGGAATAAATGCTTGACTTTTCTAATAAGAAAAAGAGAAAGAGAAAGAGAATATACTGTTCTTTATTGATACGGCCCTAAATGTTGTAATTTTTGTGTTATCAAAATAACATAGAAGCAATTTTTTAATAAAACTAGAGATTATTCCATTGTTACATTTTAATATGCTACATATTGTATAAGTTTATTTATTTGCTAAACTTTTGTTACACTCGTTTAATCGTGTAAAAAATAGAAATTATCATTGCTTAGTTTTCTTCTTCATTCATTAGGAATTCTTAGAGCTCTGTGATAAATTTCTCTCGAGCTAAGGACATTGATTAAGAGAATGGCTACCAAAAGTATTGTGTAATTATAATTAAGTTCAATTCATTTTTACGTTTGTATATCATCGTTACATGTATAATTTTACAAAGACCTAGTATGGATCATTGTCAAATTTTATTATTTTTATTCACTTTCAACTGGAACATTTTCGTAGAATGACCCTCGTTTTGCGACAGGAAATCAACACGTGCCTGATCATAGATTATAAGTTGTAGAGGGCATTTGAATTATGAGCTGATCTATGGATCTTTTGAAAATGATATGGATTGTAAGTTACACTATTGCGATGCATAATCATAGGGAATATTTTCTCAAAATCCAGTATTTAATTGTACATTTGTAATCGTTCTTTTCATTAGATTTATTTTTATAAGACTAGGTGCAAAATGCGATTACCGATTACTTTTTGTTTTAAGCACTAACGGTGGAATGAAACTTTCCAATAATTTATTTTACTCCTTTGCGTGAAAAGCTCTGTTATGTATTTCCTTTTCATTTTGTATTATAATCAAACGTTTATCTATTACTTGCATAATTACGGTAGAAATTCATAAAGTTTTACTATATTGTTTAGCAATTTCACTTGTAGGTAATATTATATTAGTTTCACACTCAAGACGTGCATTTTATACAGTATTCGTGAAAAATTATAACTGAGCCTTCCTCACTAAAGAAATAACATTGTTCATTAGTGGAAATATTAATGTGTAACATTAAAAGAGCGCTTGTAATTACACTTCAAATCAAAACTAATTATACACCTTATCTTTTTAGCAAGGGACAATGAACATTTTCAAAATGTAGAGTTTGTTAATTCTGATACGAAAAAGAAAAAAAAACGATTGCGAAATGGTGCCAAATTTTATACTAAAAAAAATTTCTGTAGTGCACCAATTTCTTTTAAAAAGAAATTAAGATTTTTCTGTAAAACTGCTTTTAACTTACTAAGTACAATAGATCTAATATTTATTACCTAAGATAATGTATATTAGTAGAAATTCAGAGTTACAATGAATATTTTTTTCTGTTTTCAGAGTGATATAAGAATCTAAAAAATATCGTCTCATATCTAGGCAACTCTACTATCAAAAATGAAAGAAGAGTTATTTCATCTTTATTTATAAATATCATTCATTCATACACAATACGGCAGCAGATAAAATTTTCTACAATTTTCTACATCCTATGACGCGATGAGGCAGTACTCGTTTAGCATTTATAAAATAATCTATTTTCATCCATTAGTCGATCAATAAGTCGAGAAAGAATCTGTCATACACTTTATTACTGTTAGAACATGAACATTTGGTAATGTAATGTTTCATATCACAAAGAATAACAATGTCGATTTCTTTGTAATTACTGTCTACTTTATATTTTGAAACTACGAGATTGTGAAACTACTCCAGATCATGTACACCATTACAGAATTATTAATATTTAAATAAAACATCTAATTTAATACAGAATAACTTATGAAAATGTATATGTATACGGATAACATTATTGTTAATATTGCAACATTGAGACATTTAAACTTCTTTGTTAAGAATATATTCTACAGCTTGCACAAAAGAACTGCATACTTTTGTAGGCCGTGGAGTAATTGTATCTTCATCCCCGTTTCGGTATTTTCCGGTCTGTACCAAGAGACCTTTAATACCGATAGCTTGAGCGCCAGCTATGTCATCCTTAACATCCTAATTTTATACAAAATTATGAAGTAATCGAAAATATGGAGATGGTATTAAAAAATAATATAAAATATTTCTTACATCACCAATCATAACGGATTCTTTCGGTGGTACATCTCCTAAAGCAGCTTTGAAAAATTCCTCAGTTGGTTTACCAACAACTTCTGCTTTAACATTAGCAGAATATTCTAGACCAGTTATAAACGCACCTGGTCCTAAAGCTAAACCATCCGATCTTTTGTAATATCGCGCCTTATGTATTGCTATAAGTGATGCGCCATCTAATAATAATCTGAAATGACGAATAATTCATCCTATTTCATATCGATTTCATATTGAAATCCTGTCATGTAACGTAGTCGAGATGTACCTAAATGCTTTAGTCAATTCTTCATAATGGAATTTATCTGGCGCCAATCCGACTACTACAGCATTTGTCTTCTCATTACTTTTTATTAAATCTTCAAAATCTTCATTGGCAGCGGGATCAATTAATAACATTGGGTTCAACTGCCGTGAAATGATTAAATTCCTTGCTGCAGCTAAGGAACTGAAAATCTCGTCCTTTTTAATGTTAAAGCCGAGCTTTATCAATCGTTTGTGCAAAAAGTTACCGGATTCTTTCGTCGTATTGGTGACAAATTTGAGCGGTATATTAGCACTTCGAAGCCTATATTACAATCAATAAAAATCGTTATGTCACACTAATTGAATTACACTTTATTTATTAAAGCATATAGTGGTGTTAAATGTAATGATAAGTGTAATGTGAAATGATAATATGCAATTTCAAACGTTACGACGTAAAATGAATGCATTCAATTTGAAACGCGCCACTAAAATGGAATCGACGCAATACAATGTGCGCCATGATATTCACTAGTAATCCTGAACAATTTTCATGAAATAAATAAAAGACACCACCTGTTTAAAGCTTCCACTGCACCTGGGATCACTGTATTGTCAATATGCAGTGTTCCACTAAGATCTATTAGTACCATTTTTATTTGTTTCGCCATATTTTACGAAATTTCGGTAGCTTATGCAACGTTTACTTTGCAGCTCTGATGTGTAGTTCACGTATCGCACGTAAATGTGTATGTATGCAGCATATTCAGTCGCCTAACACTAATACAAATCAGTTAATGATTGAAATATCAAGTTTCTGATCACACGTGTTTAAGTATGGCGCTCTCCATGCGACAGGAAGGCATAAAGCAAGTACCATGGTTTTCTCTGTAAGTATTACAATAATTAAAGATTTTTATGTCGCAAGATGTTCAACTAAAACTGGTATTTACGTTCTATAGTACAGAATGGCATCAGGTGTACAACCAAATTTATTCCAACAATATAGATGAACTAACTAAAGGATATCAAATGCTGCTTGTATGGCAAGCAAGGTAAATAAATAATGTACATTTAATAAAATCATATGTGTAATTAAGTAATACTAATGAAGAGCATTTTAGGATACCAAAATTACCAATAGGAGTTGATTGCACTCTTTCAATCATACAAGTCTGTCTTAGAGACAATGAATGGACTCCCAAGATTAACAATGGAGAATTACCAATTAGCTATGAAAATGATCTGTGCTTGATGTATTCAACTATAATAATGAGACTTCTAAATCATATATCTAATATAGGACATACCAAGCAAACATCCTTGTTTCAGATTGCAAAGAAGCTCAATATCCCAGAATGGATAGTGAATTTAAGGCATGATAGTGCTCATGGATATGAATTACCATCCATTGGTATATTGAGAATTGCTGCAAACATATTATTAGCTTGGCTACATGTAAGTTTATTTATGTTTAAGTTATGACACTAAAAAAAAAAACATGTATTTACATGTTTTAATTAAAGGAAGAATACTGGGTAGCAGAGACCAAGAAAATGGAGAAATGTTTACACATTGAGGAGTCTATAAAGGAGGCTGAAGAAACTGAAGTACAGGATTTTGGAGATTTAATTGAACTTTGGACTGCCATCAGTTTATACATTCATGCTGGTTACAATTTAACATCCAGTATTCCAGATCCTCAATTGAAGTATGTAGAACTTGAACTGTCTCAATTTGATTATAGTAAACATATATTAATTAAATATTATTATTAATAGGGAGACATTGCAAGATTTGCATTCTTATGCCACTTCTTTACTAGACAAAAATAATGAGTGTGAGGAAAGTGATAATAATAAATATATGGATGCTGCCAATGATGACATAAAAAAGGATAAAAAATATACATTGAAAACTGCAAGGATTGTTCTTTTATCTGAAATATCTAGATATCTTAACAAAAAATCTATTCCTAATAAAAAGGATATAGTTTGTAATATACTTCTCAATTCTGAAGCTTTTTTACCAAGCAAAGATATTTTATCGATTTTTACCCAAGAAAAGGGGACTGAGAATGAAATAGAAAAAGATGTCTTGCCATTAGATATGATCAAGTTTTGGCAAGACATCGTATTTTTATTGTATGAAAAAGATTTGATGGAAGCGTTAATTATAAAATTACTCAAACTAATAGATAATGAAGAAGTAAATAAAGACAAAAGATTATTAGCTTCTTTATGGATAAGCTCTATATCGTATAGTTTTCTAAAATTAGATGCAGCCCATCGTATATCTCGAGATTTAGAATTTCAGTTAGAAAAGGCGAACAAAACTTTATCGCTGAATGCTCTTGAACTTAAAATCAAGGAGAAAACAGACCGTGCTTATCCGCATTTGAAATGTGTTCTGTGGTTTAATTTATCATATATAGTGTTACCATGTTTAACTGACATAAAATTCATTTCAAAACTTATATTAAATGTAAATGAATTCTCGGTTAAATTCATTGTACCTATTTTAGAATTAGTAAGCCCACAAGTGGATAAAGAAAGCAAACAAATGCTGTTGAATTTAATAAGCTTCTGTACAATGGGAGAAATGACTGATAGCAAAACTTCTCATAAATATGGTAAAATTTTCACCCTCAAAGACTTACAACATAGTGAACATCTAATAAATGTGGATAATGTACAAGCTAAAACTGATCACAGAATACCTCGTTTTTTAACCGATCAAAAGGTTCGAAATAACTATTGGAAACTTGCAATTGGTAAGTATATAAAGTTACGTATTTTTTAATAAAAAAAATTAACACATGGAAATGATATCAAAATCTTTTTGTAGCAACTTATAACTGGAGTGAATGCCCTATTGGTTTACTTCCTTGGCAGTGTGATACAATGGAAATATTAAATCCACTTGATAGTGTAATACAAAAAACCAACGTTTCGATACTAGAGTCCGAAATTATACCCGGAATTATAGATAGAAAAGACTTAAAAATGCAAAGTCAAATTAAATGGGACAACGTTTTGAGAAAAAAGAAACGCTTAAACAGGAAATATGAACGAAGAAACGCGGATATTATAATGAACAAAGCACTTGAAACTGTTAAGAAACAAAAATAATAGATCTACAAAATAATAAGTGTTTGAAATGTTTTATTTATTATTGGTACGTTGATAGGAAATACGAAAACAGAAATTCAGCAATGTATTTTTGTAACTATTTATAAAATTTCATTTAATAAATATAAATTTTTCGATGTCACAAGCGTCGAATGTAACTTTACATATAGTGCGAAGATGTTTGTACACGCTTTTAAAAAATATCTACATTATTATATAAAACATATGTTAATCTTGCGTAACAGCTTATTTAAAATAACTTCACATTGTATACATATATAAATTTACAAAAATTATATAAATTAAATTAGACGAAATATATTCACACCACAGATATATTGAATAATGAAAATTTCTTTTATCACAAACCATAAGATCCAGGCACCTTAAATACACCCTTGTATTACAAAATGAATATTCGTCGTATAACAAATTAATTTTTACATCACCAACATTATCTCAAATACAATTCCATAAACCATCTACAGATGTTGCAAAATTTCATCAATACAAAGATTTATGATGTTCGTTTCTTTGGTTGTCATTTTATAGATATGTGTTCCTTATCAATATATACTTTCAATATATACAAGGTATCTCAAAATTGGCGGTAAATGTCAAAAGGTAAATATTTCACATGAAACTATAGTTCGAACATGCACCCATTCGGTACGTGTGCACTCGAGCACAATAATGGGTACTCGTGGTGTTTACTATGAGGTCAGAAGAAGGTGCCCCATACTGTACCAAAGAGTGTACTGAAGGCGGAGTTAAGGTGATCCCCTTACCTCATGGTACCCCTCAAGCATCCAGATGCATGTGAGTGCATGCGTACGACTATACGAGTGCATGCGTACCTAGTAAATGTTCGAGTTCAATTATCTTGAAAATACAGCTTCTTGTGAGATCATTTCGTATAACATTTTTAACTTATTTCTTAATGTCACGAGAGTTCAACATGGATACTTATCGAGTGCACATGTACGGAAGTATCATTTTGGACACTTGAGGGGTACCATGAGGTAAAGGGAATACTTGACTCCGCCTACATACAATGCCGTCCACGAACTGAAGCCTCATACACGCGACTTTTCCCCTCCGCTTTGCACCAGTAGTAAAACAAAGAAATCAACATATTCTCGCGGAAAGCATGTGTGCACTAATACATGTTTCTTGTATACGACGCGACATCAGCTAGAATCTCATACTAAGGTAACTAACACAGAGTGGGGAAAGGCCCTAAGCTTCAGATACAGCTTGAACAGCACTGGCTTGCGATACGCGTTATGCTTCCCTTCTCCTTACTTTTTTTTTTTTTAGGAAAGACCATTCCCCTTTCCTCACAGTATTCCTCGAGTGTCTACGACCGTACTTGAGTGCATGCGTACCCAACAAATGTTAAAACCTTGCTTCCTTGAGGAAGAAGTTTCGTATGAAAGAATTTTATTCTGTTATTTCGATTAAGATTTTTACGAAGAATCGAACCTTTTCGATTATACCATTAGTTCTCTGATACTCTGTATAAACAACAAGCATATTTATAAAAGCAAAGATCAACATATCTTTTTTCCTACCTATATTATCGAATTAAAAGACATAATTTCTTTTATCGGTAGTGTTAGTTTTTCTGAGCACGTCTGCGAGATGTTTAGTTGATTCAAGACCAAACGCATCTAGTGGTATTCGAGACATTACCGCTACTCTGAAATTATGGAAAAAGGAAAATAATGTGATATAATGTATGTTAAAAATTTAAGTGATCAATATGCAGTGCTTATTACCTTCCACCAGATATAGCATACAAGAATTTCCAATAAGAAGATCTTAAGAACTGTGGTTCAAGGATTGCTACATGAAAGAGCACTGCTGTACTGAAGCAGTATAAAAAGATTGCAAATCCCTTAACTTCAGGTACTATTTTCTTTTCCGCAAGATCATTCCATAACAACTAAATAAAAAGGAGAGGCATGTACAAACTTTTATATGCACTAAAAAGCACTCAATTGCAAATTTGTTTAAAAAATATACCTGCAATGCTTTCCACATAAAATATAAAGCTATTGTATTACTACTATA